CCACCAGTTTCCAATGTGCCATGGAGGCAGCTGGCATGTCATAAGTGCTAGATTGATGTTTCAGTATGCAACTACATAGAACATTCATTCAACCAAATGGCCACATTGGAAACTGCTGGCACTAGTCTTAAGTCCAGTCAAGGTGGGGTTTAGTGGGCACTGCTATTCAAGGGATCCAATTTCCATTCAGTTACAGGCAGAGACAGAACACAGTCCAGGGGCATGGCGAAGGTCATTCATCAGTTTGAGATGCTTATGAATCAGAGGTACAATTTGATTATAGTCTGGAGATCTGTAAACATAACAGTCAGTATCTAGTAGCTGCTTATTCAAGTCAATCAGAGGTCTCTGGGTCTGTACAGTCCTGGGGATCCCTCTGTTGGTCAATAAGGAGGGATCGGGATGGTGTGTAGCAGCAGTGGGGGATATCAGTACTGGAAGGTGTGGGGAGTCCCAGCTATGTAGTGGGTGGCAGGAAACAGAGGCATTTGTAGAGCTGGGGATTAAGATAGTGGCAAGAGGGAATCTCAAGGTGCATCAAGGTATACGGAACAGCATTGGAGGTCGTGGTAAGCTATGAGAAGGACTATTATTCACAGTGACCTCTGCAGGAGTGGAGTAGAGGACTAGGGTGGATATAATCAGAATATAGTGCTGGCAAACAAAGGGCCAGGAGTACAGTTAGAGAAGAAGTTCAGTATGGTGGGTCTCCACCTTTGGGGTGGAATTGGTTGAACTATGCTGTCGAGTAAGTGTGAGTTAATGGGAGACATGAAGACTTTAGGGAACCTGATGAAAAGGAGAGCTTGGTGCTGACTGTGGACCCCATCATCACTTTCTATTCATTAGATATGAAGTACTATTAGAAAATGGGCAGGACAACACCCAGGGTGAGTGGAGTCCATGTCAGTTCAATGGGTCATAGCACAGAATCCACATTTCCTGGGCATTAGGACATTGTTAAAACAAACACTTGAAGCAAATATTTGCAAAGCCAAGCAACATTTAATCTGCAATCATTTTATCAGCCATTTGCTATTCACGCATAGTGAATGTGCTTAATAGTCATGTGCAGGTGAAAAGTGAATTGCAACATGCCATTGGTATCTCTATGATTTTGAAGTTAGCAACAATGACATTATAAAAGGTCAATGCTGGCTGAAGAGTAAACATTATATGCCCAACTTCCAAAGGTCCTGTGTGAGCCACACAATATCTCCTGTTCATCTGTCATGTAAGTGGAATGATGGCCTGTACCCTTGAGCAATTGATGTTGGACTGGATTAGGAAGTGTGTCAGAGCACTGCAGGCACTCCCTCAATGACCTGTAGCACCTCACTAGATGCTACACTGGTGAACCGGAAGGTGGATGGATGATGGTGTCATCTTCCTCATTATCAGGATGCAGCATGTTTCAATGTATCGAGGAGTGGCTCAGCCCTCACCAACATGCCACCTATGGCTGTTCTGAGATCTAAGAAATTTGTTTACTTCTTTCGCCCTATTTTACTTCTGTTCTCAAAGTTATGGGCCAACCACTGGTTGGATGTTGGTTGCTGTGGTTGACTTCCTAAGAAGTCAAAGGCCAATGCAAGAGGACCAGGGCTGATAGCAAGTCCTGGAGCAGCAGTAGACCACCACAGAGGATGAGGTACACCAGCTCAGAGAGGGATCACAGCCAAAATATGCTAAGATTCAACCCATTGGTTGAAGACCATTCAATTATAAGACATGGCTGTAATTCACTGGGAGAACGTAAAATTCAAATTAAATCAGGCAAACAATTCATAATATTGAGAAGAAAAGTTCAGTGATTTGGAAAATTAATGTATTTGTGAGACATACAGTTGTCCATTATTGTCATTGCTTAGCACAAATTCAAGTTGGTTTTACCAGACGGAATTAGTTTCTGCCAACAAATGTTTTTGTTTTAGAGTTAGACCACCCAGCAGTCAAGCTGGAATACTTTTCAAATTTGCTGCTACTCCACCTTACTATGAATAGAATTAAAATCTTGCCTTCTGCTGGGGTGGTTGACCTAGATTAGAGTCATTAGAGAAGATTTAAAAGCTGAGCATTTGGAAAACAGTGGCAGGATCAAACAGAGTCAGCACAGATTTGCGAAAGGAAAATATTGCTTGAACAATCTCCTTGAATTCTTCCAAGATGTAACTAATAGAGTTGCTGAAAGAGTCAGTAGATGTGGTTTACTTAGCCTTGTATAAGGTTTTCAATATGATCCCACACAAATCATTAGCGTGTAAAATCGAAGCATGTGGGAATGGGATGTATTGTGCTGATATGGACAGAGAATGGGTTGGCAGAAAGGAAACAAAGTAAGAAAAAAACTGGCCTTTTTCTGAGAGGCAGTCAGTGACTGTTTGGATATGGCAGCAATCTATGCCAAGACCTCAGCTATTCACATAAATATTAACAATTTGGATGAGGGAACGAAATGTAACATCTCTAAATTTGCAGATGAGAGGAAGCTGGGTGGGAGGTTGAACTGAGGGGAGGATGCAGAGATAATTCAGCGTGATTTAGATAAGCTGAGTAAATGGGCAGTACAGGGATACAGGGTAAACCATTTAGGACTGAGGTGAAGAGAAATCACCCAGAAAGTGGTGAGCCTGAGAATTAGCTACCACAGAAAGCAGTTGAGGCCAAAACTTGCATGATTTTAAGAAGGAGTTGGATATAGCACTTGGGGTTAAAGGGATTAAAGGATATGGGGGAAAAGTGGGAACGGCTGAGTTGGATGATCAGCCATGATTGTGGCGAATGGTGGAGCAGGATTGAAGGGCCAAATGGCCTTCTCCTACTCCTATTTTCTATATTTCTGTTTCTATCTGATAGACTGGCCGGGTGACTTGACTCCAATCTATAGGGGCAAAGTGAGCCATTTGAACTTTGAAGTTATTCATTGGTTAATGTGTGATGTTGTTTACTGTTTGTTCGTTCTACTCAAGTAAACCATTTGTTAATGTATAGTCAGTGTCTTGGTCAGGTAAGAATGTGTATTCATTCACAACCATCAGTATATGGGAAAAGCTATTGGAATCTATAGTTGAAAACAAACCAATCAGGCATGTAAGAGTTCTGAGTTACATAGAGAGAACCAGCATGGATTTGTAAAGCATATATCCTGTCTAAATTTCCAAGAAAGTAACTAAGCAATGAACAGGAGAATATCGATGAATGTATGCATATTTTATGTTTAAAACAGCCCCATTTACCAGTGTTTCACTTTGATGTCAGTGAGTTGTTAGGACTCAAAAACATGTCGAGCATTGCAAGACTTGTTACAACAATACCTGATCTGATTGGCATCACTTTGATGCAACTTCTCTTTCTCTCACCTTTGTGGACTCCCCCAGTGCTGCACTGCTGCCTGAGGTCTGCAGCACAGAGCCCTCACCTACTTGGCCCTAGACCAGTTGCAGGAGCTGCCACTCAATCCTGGTCAAACCACAGCCATTTCCTGACAGCATCCCCACTCTTAAGAGTCTGCTATAACTAAACTCGACAGCCCTAGTCCCATCTCACCCACTGAGGAAACTGCCAGACTGTGGTCCACAGCAGGCAGAACAGTACAGGAGAGCTGCCAACGTTCTTCTGGGCTATACAGGCCTTCATTGCCTCCACCTCCGAGGAAGGACAGAATTCAGCAGTTCGCCTATGCTGCTCCACAGTCTGCAGCCTAATCCACCACCTCAGAGAGAGGGAGGGGATGAAAAGGCACTGAGCCCAGCCATGACAAGACAGCAGGAATGAACAAAGAGGAGGAGCCTACAGTCAGCTACGAGTGGACCATGCAGACTCCATAGGCAGCCACAGCTGGCAGCAACAAACCCCCAAAAAGACAGCACCTTGCACTGCCACTATGCATCCAGAAACTGGTGATTGCTCCAGCAAGCAGCGTGTAGCCCCATGAGCAAAGGCCACCTGGGCAATAGCTCCCCATCCCAGCCCCTGCTCCCAGCACCAGTCTTGGATGATTGCAACAGGAGATGCTGAAATTAAATATTGCAATTTTTCTTCATGCAGCTACTTGTAAATGGAATAATTTTTGAAATACATATACCAGTAGTAAGAGTTTAGTCACTTAAAGGACTATATTTGAACTTGGAGTACAGGAACGATGTTTTAATTTTTGTTTTGCTCAGGAAAGCCCTAAAGAACCTAACTGCAGTTTTAATATTGATTCACATGGGAACAAAACAGAAAGTGGTGGAGAAACTCAGTAGATCTGACAGCATCTGTGGCAAAAGGAAATGTTAATGATTTAAGTCTAATATTACTTTTCTTTGGAGCTGAATGGGGTTGGAGAAGTGATAACTTTTATGCTAACACAGTATGGAGCTGGAGGAATACAGCAGACATCACAGCATCAGAGGAACATGAAAGTTGACATTTTCAGGTCAGGACCCTTCAGAAGGTGTTAATAGTGGAACATGTCAGATTTCCTGAAATGCTGTTCCTCCAGCTTGCATTGAGCTTCATTGGAACACCATAGTACACCTGGGACAGAAGTGTTGGCTGAGAGCAAGATGGTTTATTAAAATGGCAAGTGGTAGGGAGGTTAGGGTCATTCTTATGGACATAGCAGAGGTGTATGACTTCCTCAGAACAGTTGCTGCCAGACCTGCTGAGTTTCACTGCATTCTCTGTATTGGTTTCAGATTTCCAGCATGCGCGGTATTTTGCCTTTATTCAAAACATCTTTACACCTGGTCATTTTTTTTTTCTCTGCTCTCTTTGACAAATGTGTGTTTGGCTTTATATGGATTGTAAACATTTTCTCTATGGTATTGTGTATAGTGATATCTGTTATTCATATTGAAATACTTAGCGTACATAAGAGGAATGGGAACAATATTGTTCATGCAAATTAGGGATAGTTTTGAATATGGTCTAATTTTAACAAGAGGGCATATCTATAGATGTGTCACAGGTTTCTTTTCTCTTCATAGAAATCTTGGTGTCTGTTATTTCTCTAGGTCAAGAACGATTTGGGAACATGACAAGAGTATACTATAGAGAAGCTTTTGGAGCATTTATTGTCTTTGACGTTACGCGAGCCACAACGTTTGAAGCAGTGTCCAAATGGAAAGATGACTTAGACTCAAAATTAACTCTCCCTAATGGCAAACCTGTCTCAGTTGTCCTACTGGCAAATAAATGTGATCAAGGGAGTGAGTTCTTAGCTGCCAATCCTGGAAAGATGGAACAGTTCTGCAAGGATCATGGATTTGTCAGCTGCTTTGAAACTTCAGCAAAGGTAAAATTAATTTTCAGCCTTCCAGATTGTAGTTGCAACAATCTATAAAGTTGAAATACAAGCAAAGTACATAAAAATGCAAAGCAACAATCTTCAGGGTAACTTTATTCTTCATTAAATTTTACACTTAAAGGATTATTAATTCTTTAAATTGTGGAAGAGGGAATATGCAGAAGAGATTTTTACTGTTGAGTTGAAGTAGAGAAGAGACCTCATGGAAGAGTCATACTGAATGATGGGACATGGTAATGAAAGATTAGAATGAAGTACTGACCATATGAATATACTAGAAAAGAGGATACAATATTAGGGTAGATCCAGATCCAATCTGGCTTGGATTAATTGTCAAAAGCAATGGGACTAGTGGGCTCTAACAAATGCAGTCCATTTATGATTTCACTGGAGCAGCATCTCATCACGTCAGAGCAAAGGGAATTTTGGCAGAAGGTGCCCTCTCTGGACTTTTTCACAGCCATTGTAGAAGCATGAAACACTGACAAGGAATAGCCAGGAATCACTGGGAAATGAACAGAACATTTTAACTCGTGCCGCAATATTATATCACACCGTAGTAAAGTATTTTGCGATAAATTCTGCATTTGACAGTTTATTCAATTTGATAGAATTGTTTGGTAAATAATGGAAAGACACAAAAGTAAGGCAGAATTACAAATGATTGAGCTGAAATTTGTAAGTGAACCTGCTGAATAGCAGATCTGCATTCTAGTTGTAACCATTGTGTGAGATTCCACAGCATTAATACCAATATAGTGCTTGTTAAAGTAATAATAGCAAAGAGGTTCAAAACCAAACAACAGTGGATAGAAGCAGATGCATCAGACTGTAGGTCACATTTACAGATATTTGCAAACACACTTGTGTAAAGTTCAATCCCATCAGAGGTGGAATCTGTTGCATTCCTACGGTCTTTCAAGATGTAAAATATATTTACTTTTAAGTGCCTATTTGATCCAAAGTTAGGGAGTTATATTTCTCTGGCATATCTGTGTATATGTAATGTGGATTTAGAATTTGTCATTTAATCCAAGATTGGTTGAACACTAAAGCAAAGAAGAAAATTTAGCAAATGCTGGGAATGCAAACAAAAACAAAATTGCCACTATTTTAATAATTCAAAAATAACAATGGTGACAACATAGAGCTTTTACTGTTGGAAAATATCTTAAGATGCACAGGATGCAATCAGACAGAGTGGCTGTAACCCAAAGCAGTATTAGCGGGTTGGTTAGAGAAGGCAGGAAAGAAATGGATAGGTTTATGGAGGAATTCCAAAGCTTCAGACCTAGAGAGCCAAAGGCAAGATGCTAACACTGAGACGTTAAGGATGGAAAGAGGCTAGAACTGGAAGAATACAGCGCACAGAAAATTGAAGACCTGGAGGATGTTTTTGCTAAAGGTAGAGTTGAACACACAGAAGCAAATTTAAAATTGGAAATATTAATGGGAATGAATATCATACAGGCATCTGAGGAATGATGAGTGAATGGGATTTGGTGTACAATAGGTTTGGGCATCACAATAGGTATTTAATAATGCTGACTGACATTAACGTATCTGAGCTTTTTTGTCAATTAACTGAAGGGGTCTTCCCACTTCCTATCCATACATTACTGTATGTTAGAAGCCTGAACCTTGTGAACTCAACATAGACATTCCTAATAGCAAACTGTAGCAAGGAAAATCCTTTATCCCAATCATTAGGGCATTCTTGACATTAAGCTGTAGTCATGCACTTTAAAGTTTGATGCCAGGTTTCTAATGCTGCTTATGATTATGGCTGATAGATTTATGTAGATTGTTTTGTTCCAAATTATTCTTTTCTTAAACATTTGTGATCTACTATCAGATCAAGCTTTAAATTTTATTTCCTTGAGTAATCTAAATCTTGTGAAAAAAAAACAAAATTGAACTAATTTCTCATCTACCATTTCTGCTGCAATTTCCCCAAAGACACTTGCTGGAACATCCATATTTATTAAAAGATGTTGATTTCTACCCTAGTTTTAGGTAGAGGTCCTACACAATTAATTTAATGACCTCTTTACCCTGGCCAATAAAAATGTTTGATTGAAGTGTTTTAGAAAATGAATCAGGAAATAGAAAAGGCATAAAAGAAAGGCACTATTACAGTAAGCATGGAGGTCTGCAATATGCAGGTGGACTAGGAAAATCAAGTTGGTAGCAGATCTCAAGAAAAGGAGTTCATGAAATATTTACAAGATATTTTTGGAGCAGCTCGTGATATAACCCTCTAGGGAACAGGGAATTCTGGATTTAGTGATGTGTAGAGTGACAAATTTGACTAGGGAGCTGAAAGTGAAGGAACCCCTAGGGGGCAGTGACCCTAATATGGTAGAAGTCACCTTGCAATTTGAAAGGGAGAAGATTGAATAAGATATAACAGGATTATAATTGAGTAAAGATAACTACAAAGACATGACGGAGCTACTGGCCAGTGTTGATTGGAAAGGGAAGCCTAGCAGGGAAGAGGTAGAGCTGCAATGACAGGAATTTCTGGGGTAATTCAGGTACAGCAGAAATTCATCGCAGGGAAGAAGAAACATATTAGAGGAGGATGAGGCAACCGTGGCTGACGAGGAAACTCAGAGCGCATAAAAATAAAAGAAGCATACAATATGAAGAAGATTAGTGGGAAGCCATAGAACTGGAAAGCCTTTAAAACCCAATTAAAAAACAAAAGAAATGTGAAGCTGTAAATCAGAAATACAAATTGCTGGAAAAGCTCAGCAGGTCTGGCAGCATATGTGGGGAGAAATCAGAGTTAATATTTCAGGTCGAGTGACTCTTCCTCAAAACTGATGCCAGCATATAAACCGACACTTTCCTAGCTACCATCAGTTCCAAGGAAGGGTCACTCGACCCAAAACATTAATTCTGATTTCTCCTCAGGTGCTGCCAGACCTGCTGAGCTTTTCCAGCAATTTGTGCATTTATTTCTTTAAAAACCAACACAGGATGACTAAAAAAGCAATAAGGGGGAAAACATCAAATATGAGAGTAAGCAAGCTAGGAATATAAAAAAGATTGCAAGAGATTTTTTTAGATGTCTAAAAGATGAGAAAAGCAAGTCTGGACATTTGACTGTTGGGAATTGAGACTGGGGAAAACGGAAATGGCGGAGAAACTGAATAGGTAATTTGCATCCGTTTTCACAGTGGAAGATACCAGAACTTCAAGAGGCAGGGGGCAGTGGTAAGTGTGGTGACCATCACTAAGGAGCAGATGCTGAGGAAGCTGAAAAGTCTGAAAGCAGATAAATCATCCAGACCAGATATGATACACTCCAGAGTTCTGAAGGAGATAGTTAAGATTGTGGGTGCGTTGGTGGTGATCTTTCAGGAATGACTGGAGTCAGGGAGGGTCCCAGTGGACTGGAAAATGGCTAATATGACAACCCTGTTTTAAGAAGGGAGGGAGGCAGAAGATAAGGAACTGTAGGCCAGTTATCCTGACCTCCAGTCATTGGTAAGATTTTAGGGTCCATTATTAAAGATGTCACTGCAGAGTACATGGAAATGCATGGTAAAATAGGGCAAAATCAGTGCAGCTTCATCCAGGAAAGGTTATACCTGACAAATCTATTCGAATTATTTGAAGAGGTAATGAGCAAGTTAGACAAGGGAAAGCCAGTGGGTGTGATCTATTTGGATTTCCAGAATGCCTTTGACAATGTTCCGCGCAGGAGGTTGCAAAATAAGATTAGAGCCTATGGCATTAGGAGAAAGGTAATGACATAGATGCAGGATTGACTGACTGGCAGAAAGCAGAGATTAGGCATAAATGGGTCTTTTTCAGGCTGGTAGCTAGTAGAGTTCTGCAGTGTTCAGTGTTGGGACCACAACTGTTTGCATTATACCTTAATGATCTGGACAAAGGAACTGAGGGTATTGTTGCTAAGTTTGCAGATGACACAGCAATAAGTGGAGGGGCAAGTAGTGTTGTGGAAGTGAGGAGGCTGCAGAAGGACTTGGACTTTATGAGAAGAGTGGGCAAAGAAGTGGCAGATGGAATACAATGTGGCAAAGTGTGAGGCTGTACATTTTGGTTGGAAGAATGGAGGTGTAGACTGTTCTGAACAGAGAGGATTTGTAAATCTGAAACACAAAGGGACTTGAGAGTCCTTGTTCAGGATTCTCTTAAAGTTAACGTGTAGGTTCAGTTGGTGATTAGAACAAGAAATTTCAAGAGTGCTAGAGCACAAAATCAGATGTACTGCTGAGGCTGTTTAAGGATCTGGTCAGACTTTGAGAGGCATAGATAGAGTGGATAGTCAGAGGTTTTTTCCTAGGGTGGAAATGACTATTACGAGGGGGCATAATTTTAAGGTGATTGGAGGAATGTATAGGGGAGATGTCAGAGGTAGATTCTTCACGCAGAGAGTGGTGGGGCGTGTGGAATGTGCTGCAGGCAGTGGTAGTGGAGTCAGATACTCCAGAGACTTTTAAGCAACTCTTGGTTAGGCACATGGAGGATAGTAAAATGTAGGGTATGCAGGGTAGATTGATCTTCGAATAATAGGTCGGCACAAGATCGTGGGCCAAAGGGCCTGTACTGTGCTGTACTGTTCTATGTTGATTTGTGAGAAGTTTTGGGCTCCATATCTAAAGAAAGATGTGTTGGTGTTGGAGGGGATCCAGAGGAGGCTTTCAAGAATGATGTAGGCTTGTCATATGAGCATTGTTTGAGGACTTTGCATTTATATTCAATGGAGTTTAGAAGGATGAGGGAGGATCTGATTGAAACTTACAGGACACTGGTGGCCTCGATAGAGTGGATGTGGAGATGTTTCCACAGGTAGCAGACACCAGGATCCAGGACACACAGGTACGGAATGAAGGGATGACCCTTTAGAACTGAGATGAGGAGGAATCTCTTCAGCCAGAGGTGGTGCCTCTGTGGAACACATTGCCGCAGAGGGCAGTGGAGATCGAGTCATTGAGTGTAGTTAAGACAGAGAC